CACCTGGCCAGGGCCAGAGCTTTTCAAAGGAAGGTCACAGGCTCCTCACAATGAGAAGCCTACAAGGGGAAGATGACACCCAGGGTCAAAGTCCAGCCATACCCTTCTTGCCTGGAGATTGTGGATTTTGTTTTGTTACCTTTAATGGGGCTCCTTTTCAAGGATATTCAGAATCTGACTCCTAAAGACTAAACAGGGCAGGGACCATGTCATTTATGACTTTGTATCTCTATTATTTAGTACCATACTATACCCGCAGCAGGGGGCATGGTGGGTACTTGCTGAATGAATAAAATGCACCTCTCTGCTGGAACCCACTCTCTGGCCTCAGAAAGCATATTCACACAGTCCAACACATGTATTCAGAGTACCTTCTATGTGCCAGCACTGGGCTCAGTGCTGGGGCCATACCAACAAATAAGAAAGATAGGGTATAAAGTAAATAAATAAGATAATGACAGAAAATTAGAAATGCTATGAAAATAAGCAAATAAGCCCGGCATTGTGGTGAATGCCTGTAGTCCCAGCTGAGGTGGGAGGCTGAGGTGGGAGGATCACTTGAGTCCAGGAGTTCAAGGCTACAGTGAGCTATGATCACACCATTGCAATCCAGCCTGATGGACAGAGTGACTCTAAAAATAAATAAATAAACAAAAGAAAACAAGCAAAGTAAGTGGTAGAGAAACATGGGGGCAGGATATTCAGTGAAGATCATCAGAGGGAGGCGTCAGCCACCAGAAGGTCTGCAGGAAGAGTGTTCCAGCCTGAGACAGTATTAAGTCTCCGAGGCAGGGATGAGTTTGGCACGTTCAAGGAATGGAGAGAAGGCCAGGGTGGCTGTAGTACGGTGAATGAGGGAAGACTGCTAGGAAATAAAGGTGGAGAGACAGCACGACATCCACTAGATCATGTTGAATCAGTGTAAGGCTTCATAAGCCATAATACGAACTAAAGATTTTATTCTTAGTGTAATGGGAGGTGACAAGATCTGATTCGTGCTTTGAAAAGATTGAGACCGGGTGAGGTGGCTCACATCTGTAATCTCAGCACTTTAGGAGGCTGAGGCGGGAGGATTGTTTGAGGTCAGAAGTTTGAGATCAACCTGGGCAACACGGCAAGACTCTGTCTCTACAAAAAAATTTTAAAAATTAAAAAAAAAAGACTACTCTGATAATTGTGTCAACAGACTGTATGATAAAAATAGAAAGAGAAAGAACAGGGAACCTTGGACTAGGGAAGTTGGCAATGGAAATGGAGCAAAGTGGACAGATTTGGAATTATGTTCTGGAAGTAGCTTTGACATCCAACCAATTTCTTAGAATGGATGTAGGGGTAAGGGTGAAGGAAGAAAAGGAGTCAAGGATAACTCTTATCAGGGTTTTTTTTTTTTTTTTTGAGAGACTGTCTCACTCTATTGCCTGTACTAGAGTGTAGTGGTGTCATCATAGCTCATAGCAACCTCAAACTCCTGGGCTCAAGTGATCCTCCTGCCTCAGCCTCCTAAGCAGCTGGGACTACAGGCACGTGTCACCACACCTGACTAATTTTTCTATTTTCTTTTTTGTAGAGACGGGGTCTCATTCTTGCTTAGGCTGGTCTCAAACTCCTGGCCTCAAGGAATCCTCCCGCCTTGGCCTCCCAAAGTGTTAAAATTACAGGCATGAGCCACAGTGCCCGGCCTCTTATTAGGTTTTGAACTTGAGCAACTGAATAGATTAGAATTGACGGAAGACAGCCTTGGAAGAGAAATTAAAGACTTTTCCTTCGGCTGTGTTAAATCTGAGTGGTCTATCAGAAATACGGGTGGAGATAAATTGCAGATTCATATCTGCCAGTCAGTTGAAGCTCAAGAGGGAGGTTAGAGCTAGAGATATAAATCAGGAATTATCAGTATATCAATCATATCTAAAGCTGTGGGACTGGAAGAGAATATTTAGTGTAGATGAAGAAGGAAAAGGGTCCTGGAACTGAGTCTTGGAACCCTCCTAATTTTGAAGTCAGGTAGAAGTGAAGTTGAATATAAAAAAAGGTGAGTACAGGTTAGGACTTCTGCCCGTGGTAGAGTGAGGAGATTCTCTCCCTCAAAAGCAACTACAAAACCAGAAAAAACTGACAAAAACCACTTTGGCACTCTGGAAACTGACCAAAGGTACTCAACAATGTGAGAAGTATTTACGCTCACAGAACTGCTGAACTTAGGGTAAGAACCGTGGGAACCTGTGGCTTTCTCATGGGCTTGCTCTCATTCCTTCCCGCACTCATTCAGAGCAAAAGTTCTGCCAAGAAGCGGTGGGCTGAGAATCAGCAGCTTCCCCATGGAAGGACGGAAGCCACTTGATTTGAAGTGGCAGCAATGTCTACGTGTAGAGATACTGGTGGAAGCAATGACCTCCAAGGCAGTAAGAAGGAACAGCCAAAGACACAACTAGCCTGAGGTGTGGTCATGTTGGGGAAACGGTATCCCTGGCAAAGGCTGTGTGGCAGTGGAGACCTGAAAGGGCCCAAGTTAGCCACATACTCCTGGCCTACCCTGAGGCTACACACACATGCAAAAGAGATGCAGAAGGACCCAGTGAATAGTAAAAGCCAGAGCAAACTTGAACATGGCCTGAACTTTGAATACGCTACTGCTACCAACACACAGATTCAACAGTAGAAGATGGAGACCTTATTGGCTCCAGATGTTTAAAACGAGCTCTGTTAAATCACTAGCTGACCTAATCACCAAGCAACATAGACACATGGAGACAGAAATTATAAAAAAGAACCAAATTGGGAATATTTGCTTTTAAACTCTTCAGCTACCATGTAAGCAGTCTGATTTTTCTGAGGCCACCAAACTGTAAGGAAGCCCAAACTATTCCATGCATGAAGACCACATGGAGAGTCCCTGACACTACATGAAAAGAAAGATGCCTGGCCAGCCCCCAGAAGCTCTATCCATCTGCCGTTTCAGCTCTAGCTGCCATCTGCCTGCAACTCATAACCTGTTCTGATGACTGTGAATCAGAACCGTCTAGTCAAGCATTTCCCAAATTCCTGATGCACAAAAACCGACAGGTTTACGAGCTTGGAGGAAGCTAAGGCCCACAGAGGGAAACAGAACTTACAGTTATCAGAATCCTGAGAAGATGGACTGACTGCACATCCCCACTGCCCTGATATCCACATACAACTTTAATCCAACTACCAACTATCTCCCCAGGGTCTAAAAGGTATGATACAGAAAATGAAGTGCTTAGAAAATCATTGGAGAGGCTGAGGAACGGGCCTACAGAATCATCTCTAGGAATAATGCATAAATGTTGCAACAAGCAAGCTACAGTGTCTGAGGTCTTCTTCACAGCTTTGCTGGAGCAAGATGCTTC